TGAATGTGCGGGTGCATGGGTTGGTCAATCACCACATGGTGAGTTGATGGTTAGATGCGGGAAGTTTGGATCAAGGTCCAATTGAGTCGCACGGAACATTGAATAGAAAAAATTGTGTCGGGTATAACAAGAAGAGATAGATTCTCCCTCGGGTGCAAGACTCGGTTACCTGGTTCACTCACTTGAGCGGCGGTGAAATTCTAAAAAAGTGTGCCGTGTACTTGGAATTAGAGGTGTGATGCCCTCAAATATCGTGCCAGTGTAGTAGATCATTGGTGTGATGTCCATAAATTTACCAACCCATGAAAGACACAAAGATTTTATAAAATAGTCATTGGATGTCTAACATCGATGACAGGGGATTGGAATGCTCAGATGCATATGCATGGCTTAGCGTGTGTTATGGGAGCCGGTGAGGCTCAGGTTGCATTGCATGCATAAGTTCCTATCTCAAGGTATGACATGGAATTGTAGCATTCATTTATAAAAATTATGTATGTTAATGGATAGTTGATATGATGACATGCATGTGACATTTCATATGCATCTGGGTTGGGGAGTACCTCATTAGGAGATATCCTATTGAGCGCAACTATACTTTTATGGGGATAAATTTCATGTGTTGGACAGGCTCTAGCGGACGACCCTCACTTAGTCCCATGTTGGTGATAGAGTCGGGTTGCGGCTTTTGAATTACATTTTTTTTGTCTCTTGTATAATTCTATTTTGACCTTCTATAAATTATGCATAAAACTTGTACTTTGACAAAGGTATGTAATGGGACTCTCTTTGTGACGCCCCTAAAACTTGGGGTCCTTTGTTAACCGTTGATCAACCATCAACCCACGGAAGTATCCGTGAATATTGTGTAACCCAACACCATGACAATAACATCCCCTTTACCGGGAATCATAACACAGTGTTTGGATAGAGTCTCTCTTATAACGGGCACTCCCTAACGCATAACATGTATATATTTCAATGACATGACCCATCTAAGATCCAATGTAAATCAATTTATCCTTAATTATTGTCTATTTATATCATTTGAATAAAAGGACTCAAGACCTGTAGCAAAAGCATTTTAAGTTTTTGAAATTTGAAGAAAACCTACCGGTTGAAAAAGTCAAATTCCTATCGATACAAGTGTTCGCTGGACTTTAAATTTTCAAAAACTGTAGGGAACCTACTGTAGAAAAATTCTATGTTCTACCGGTAGAAAAACCTTATGGAATTCTTCTACCGGTAGGAACATCAGCATTTTACTGGTAGGAAAACTCACTAGAAATGTTCTACCAGTAGAAGAACTCAATGTTCTACCGATAGATCTTCCTAGTTTTCCCTCGATTCCATTTTATTTCAATTCCATTTCATTCCAACCTTTTACAACATTAACCCAAACTCATATAACATAAAATTTTATATCAAACATAGTTCATATGAGTTCGATTACAATCTCTTGCATACGATTACATGTCCAAAACTAAATTACATCTTATTTTTAGAAAACATAGTTTAAAAACCACATCTCAGCTTTTATTCATCAATGAGGGTCCAAGTGAGAGTCATCCACTGACGCATGTCCCTTAAAGGATGAGTCACGCTCAATAAAGTATCTCCTAAAGAGACTACTCCCCAACCTAGATGCATATAAAATGTTCACATGCAATTCAACAAGCAACAAATAATCCATTCAAGAATATACAATTCATAATGGATCCTTTATGCCATGTCATGTTATGATATGAGACACACATGCACTTTAACCCGAGCGTTCACCGGCTCTCTCAACACGTGCAATGTCATGTGTATGAATCCAGGCATTCCAAGTCTTCTTCATTGATGTTACACATCCAATAACCATTTATAAATCTCATGTCTTTCTTGGGATGGTATTTATAGACTCACACTAATGGAGTACGTATCCAAATCATCGGGTCTTGCACCCGAGGGACAATCTAGCCCTTCTTTCTAACCCCGACCCTATTTTCAATGCAATCTGTGTGACTCAGTCGAACTTTGGTCCAACTATCCCAAGCCCACGCATCATCCACCAATAATGGTATTTGATCAAACTATGCACACATATCCACACTCATATCAAACACCACCCACGAATGTGATGTTACCCGTGCATATGCAATGTAAATGTACAATTGCAATTTGAACATCAAGTTCAATATGTCATGAGTACAATATGAACAACTAAAATATCCATCAACCTTTTTCTATCATAAGCATATAACCACCATCAACAATCTCAATGTTAATATATCATATGCATATACCAACATCAACTCTCAAGCATGTTATAATACAATCGATGCAAATAACACACTTAATTCACATAGACATTTCATTAAACACCTTCAAGGCCTAAATATAAACACATAGTATGCCCAATTAATACATTTCTCAAGAAATCACAAATAAGTAATTTTTACACACTCAATCCATGCTAGAATTGATTGTAACTATTCTTAATACTCATTTTTCACATTTCAAATACCAAAGGTATGTGCTATACATGAGATTACGTCTCTAACACCCTACCCATTTCATATATTAACCCTAGATTAGAAATAAACCTAATTAGGAAAGGAACCCTACCTTTCGAAGCGTAAAACAAGTTGTAGAAGCCTTCAAGAACCCAAATCAAGTCTTAGCCCTTGATTTTCCTAACTCGCGTATTTTGAACTTCGTCAAAATTCATGTTTTTTGGTACGTAGGTGTAGTATTCATCGCGTAGGTGAACTTTAGATCTTAGCCCAAGTCAATTCGATTAACGAAAAGTCGTAGATCGTAGAGAGAAGTTGAAGATCTTGATTTTCTCCTTTTTCTTTCCCTCCTATCTATTTGTGGAAAACCTATCCGAACAAATGGGGAGAAAATTTGATTTTCTCCACTATTTATACTCCTGGGACACTTGGCCCACATTACGCCACACGTCCTCCTTTCTCCTGTCCGATTTCGTCCTGAATTAATTAAATTTCATCCTATTTTAAGTTCAAAATATTTTTATTTGAACTAAATTTAAATTATTTTTCACTTTTCGCAATTTAATTTTTGGTATCGTTTATTTTGGTCACGTGACATCAGATCGCCTCGTAACACGCAAAAAATTGACTAGGTAACTAGATTTCACAAGAAGAATCCAATGGTAGGGTCCATTTTTCTATTCGAGTTCTAGAAAAATTTGAGTTTTTAACTCGTACCGTAGTGACAAATTACCATTTTACCATTTTCATAAAAAATGAAAATTTTCGAATTTTACACTCTAGGACATTATTATAGTGTAAAAAAAATGAATGTTGTATGTGTTTGTATGGTTAAAAGGTGAAAAGGTAGAAATTTAGCAAAATCTAGGCCCTAGGTACCGGTACCTCACATGTATCTAGCTTCTAGTGGGCTCAGGTACCGATACCTATGCTCACAAGTATTGGTACCTCAATGATAGTGAACTCAGGTATCGGTATCTATACTCACAGGTACTAGTATCCCACTGACAATAAACCCAGGGACTACTACCAAGTCTTACAGGTACCGGTACCTGGCTTCCAAAAGACCTAGGTAGCGGTAGTTCTTATCAAAGTTACCAGTACCTCTTTCCGAAAATTGAATTTTGAACTTTTTTCTTTGGATGATATAAATGATAAAATTTTAAGTCCTAGAATTGGAATTTGGACCTTGGATTGGTCATTTGATTAATATATACATAGGTTATGTATTGGGTAGTGCTCCCGTCCATAGGAGACTCTACTCAAATTTTATTTTGTTACGATCTCGATGAATGGGTTATACGTTATATATGGGTATTTTGTAAGTTGATAGGTGATCAACGGGTCGAGAAAAGATCCCGAATTTGGGAAAATCACATTACACCTTAAATTCTAAAGCACAATCAATCAAAGTATAGCAAATCAACATAAATCACAATGTAAATGGTTAAAGAACTCATGGGCACATAATGAAATCAATAAGGACTTAAATAGATAAAATTTGTCTCATTCAAAAAGCTAAGGATTTTTTTTCTGCCAAGTTGTCACGGGCCCAATTAGACTAATAATAGATGGAACTGATGCAGATGATGGCATTGTCTCTGTTGAAGTAGTGGCACCTAAAATAGGAAAAGGAGTAACTCCTAGGGGTGTCTTGCCTGGAATAAGAAACTTAAGTACTCTATGTGCTACATACTCAAAAGACATCTACTTTCCTTTTGATCCTGTACTGTGAATGCCTCACCTTAGAAATATCAGCCTCCATACCCCCAATCCTCTATTCTAGCCTTGTAACAAGTTGTTGAACTATTGCTCTAGATGTCGGAGGTGGATGGGCAGTAGTAGATGAAGTGGATGCAAGTTGCCTCGAGAACATATCTGCTCCAAGCTCCCTCACCTATTTGCTCTAGGCACCCTCGACATGGTAAAACTTTTCCTCTCCCCACAACTACTAATGGGCCCTTTCTCTGGTGATCATCTCCGATCTGTCTATACCTTTCACATGCCAACATTGATACACAACTATGTAACCATACATGTGAAAGGCATGTTCCCCTTTGGCTTTAAAGTAGTCGCATACTCTCTAATCACTCTCCATATTATATGTGCAATGTTGATCCTAGACCCAATCATAAATTCACGCAATAAAATTACCTTGGGTAAACCAGGCTTCCTCTTAGACCCCTTCGGATACACGTTATAGTGTAGAATTTTATTCATAAGTTTGTACTCTGCATCCAAACCACCCTAGCTAAATGAAACATTAAATTGATCAGTGTTCTCATTTATGATTTGGGCTTACTCAGCAAGACTCTTAGTAGCAAAGTCTGGATGTGGGTGATTGATAGTGGAAGAGTCAGGCCTCACATACCCCTGTAGGTAGCTATTCTATGGGGGGTAACCTCAATAACACGACCTCAAACCGCAGTCCTAAGTATCATCAACTCACTATCAACAAAGCTCAAACTACCATAAAATTCATGATAGAGTGAAAGAATGTACCCCTCCATCTTTTCAAAGAAAAACTTAAGTCCTCGCTCTGTAATTTGACTTTCTATCCTGATATTAACCAGGCTCCTCTGTTCAACAATCCTCCCACAAGAGACCCCTCTTATAGGAATAGTTGCCTCATATTCAATTTTATGTCGCTTCTGTGACCCTAGCTGCTCAGTCTCAGTCGCACAACCCTTTCCCTTCCTCTTTGCGACGAATAAGAAACCTCTATTCTTTGCCATATCCATTAATACTACTCCCAAAGTGGCAAGAGAGGTGAAAAAGAGTCATACCCAAAAGATCCAGTTGTGGGTAGTCAAAATCGATGGTTGCCGAGCCACCATTGTCATGTGTTCTCTAGAATCAATTGAAGAGAGTTAGGTGATTTGGGGAGGAATTAGAAGATGAGTTAGGGTGCTTGGGGGATTTAGGTAGAATGGGAGTTAGAGAATGGAGATTTTGGGTTGGAATGAAATAAAAGTACCGTCTAACTCCCTTTAAAAGTCGCAATTTTAAGTAGAATATAGATGAACCGGCAATATTTATAAGCGATTTACTGGTACCACGCTAGTTTTCTTTCTATTTTTAAAGAAAATAAAACAAGACTAACATACTAAGTCCTGGGGAAAATTTACAATGACCCAAAACCTAACATTAATGCCATAAATTATTGTAACGCCCCAAAAACCCCCTTGGGTAACATTACATTCTAAAAACCATTCACCCCATGAGAGCATTACGTAAATTCATCACGACGAAAGTTCATTCATCACGACGAAAGTTCATTCATCAACCATTCATATTTTAACAAAATTTGGGCAGAGTCTCCTTTGTACGGGGAGCTTTACCCAAAACACAACCTGTACAATTATATTACAATTGACCACACCGGGTCCACATATGCATAACTATTGACCACACCGGGTCTATTTTCCATCATAAAATAAACTTTCATTCATCATATGTCATATCCACACTATCATCCCAAAAGAATAGGTCCAATCTTGGCCTTTACATCTCCACAATGTAATAATATAACGCAGCGAAAATAACAAAAAAAAAAGAACTAGACTTCAAAAGGATATTCTAAGTATAATCTAGTCTAGAACAAAATAAAAGTGTCGCTCTAAGCGTCCACCTCGGGATCCACATTCCCTTCAAGCGGAGTCTCCCAATGGGCGGGCTCCTTGGCTCCTAACTCCTCCTCAAGTGTGAAATCTGAAAATGTTATTTGTAGGGGGTGAGCACGAAGCTCTGTAGCAAAATCCTCTCAACTCATACAAGGTTTATAAAAATATATAAAAGGGTCGGTCTCATTTTTCAACATAGCATAGATACATAATTTGAAATGAAACGGGTGCATTTTTCAACGAATCTCAAGTTTAAGTAACAATAGTAATAGAAAGAAGCAATTTCAACCAAGTGCTAATAAACATCCATTGCCAAAATATAAATCATTTCCCACACATGATATCATATTGTCCTCTCTAACGGGAGCATCCTTACAAGGAACCTCTCACCCTCAAGATTTGGTTTCTCAAGCATCCTTACAAGGAACCTCTTGAGAAAATCACATACTGTCCTCTTTTGGTGTGAGCATCCTTACAAGGAACCTCTCACCCTCAAGATTTGGTTTCTCAAGCATCCTTACAAGGAACCTCTTGAGATGGAATGAGCATCCTTACAAGGAACCTCTCATCCATGTTCATTCCAACAACCATACAAGATCACATCATCCCAACAATCGTCACACATAACCAATGATTCCATAAATCTCCAATTTACAAGCAAATTTCCAAAGATCCACAAATCCATTATGAGGCAATTTCAATAAACAATTAGGAAAATACAAGAGATCACCACAACATCATTTATTACTCAACACAAACCAGTAAAGTTTTCAAAGCCAAGATTGAGTGACTTTAGAGAGAAAATCCACATTTCTCAAAAGTTAGGGTTGAGAGCAAAAATAAGAGAAAGTAGTTACCCAACCATAACATTGTCTAGAACATGATAATATTTGCATAGACATCAAGAATCAAAGGTTTCCTAACATACATCTAAGATTTAGATCAAAAAAAAAAAAACCTATATGTATACATAGCCCTAGTCTCAATGTAAGAGAAAGAGAAGAAATCCCCTACCTTGAATCAAAGTTTCAAACCAAAAACACAAGCTCTAATGACCTCCTTTCTCCCTTTCCTCCTTTCCTCTATCTTCCCCAAGGGTGCTAAGGGGTTTGGGGGTGAGAGATGTGAGAAAAAATAAAAGAAATTGGCTGAATTCTGTGTTTTAAACACAGCAGTCCGCGACAAATCACTGTTCATGGCTGAATTTTGAGTTTTTTTCCAAAATTACAGTTTTGCCACTAGAAATCTCCAATTTGATCCATACGACTACCCTAAGGTTTTTCGAAATTCCGGATTCATTTTTAATGTTATTTTAACCTAAAAACATTGCTTTTTATGATTTATTTCAAAGCTAAAATAAATTCACACTTGGAACATTAAAATTTCTATTTTATTCCTTCGAACTACAATAAGTGATATCCTTACGATTTTAATATATATATGGTTTATTCTTAAGTCATTACATATAGAAGATTCACTAAACAAGTACATTAATATATTAATGTAAACATATGGGGTTTTACACCTTCAAGGTCTAATAAGAAAGCACAACCCTTTACTATCCAAGGAGCACCATAGTGCAGATTTTTGGTCAACTTCATAGAATAAACTGATTTGACTCAGGTATTTCTGAATTTTTTCTTTAAAGTAGTAGTTCTATGAATTAGGAAAAAAAATTCAAGAAATCTTTTTGCAAGTCAGCCCATGTAGCTATAGTTTAGGGCTTCAAAGAGTTTAGCCAGGCTTTTGCTTTATATTTTAAAGAAAATGGAAACAACTTCATTTGCACAACCTTTTCCCATACATTATGTTCAAGGAATATACTAACTACTTCCTCAAACTTCTTGATATGAAGATAGGGTTTCTCCCTATGCACACCATGGAATTGAGATAGTAGTTGGAGCATTCCAGGTTTTACAATAAAATTTTGTGCCTACACTAGAAGATGGATACAGGATGGCGTAGAGGTTCACGTGGATTAGAGGTATTCCCTCATTGTTAGCACAGGAGGAATAGGTGGGGGATTATTTCCACCATTTCCTGGATGAATGGGAGGAACTAGTGGAAAGTTTATTCCCTATTTCTGTCATTCCGTGGATCCTCATTATTTACTCCCTCCATACTCAAATTCTATATGGGGTCAAGTCTAGAAATTCTATTATGTATAGTTTCTTGCGCCCATAAGCAATTCTAAAAAAATACTAACAAAAACAAGAATAGAATTTCTAAAGTAAAATACAGCGGAAAAACGTACCTGAGCTTGTGATGAAAATTATAAGACTTGCCTTGCCGTTTCCCCAAATCACCTTCTGAGTTATCCTCGCCTTCCCCAGCAACGGCGCCAAAAATGGCTGTCCTCTAAAGTGTATAAGATATAAATTTGTTCCCAAGCACAAGAGTGTATATTGTTTAGTAATTTAGTTGATTACCAAGGTCGTCTCCTTAGAAAAAATAGATGCAACTCAAGGATGAAGAGTAAAAATAAAAATAAAACTCTTGAATTTTGAAAGTGTTTGTAAAAATTAATCAACTAAGAAACAATATTTAAAAGGAATCGGGCAATCTTCAGAGTTCATCTCACCGAAACTAGGAATTTTGACCTAATTTAAAACTCATTCAAGATTGAAATCAAATGCCCTTGAATGGAAAATATTAAACTTAAAACCAAGAAAATAATTAATGTTTATTTAAATTGATTGAATTAATTAGTGAAATAATTACAATCATACTAATTGCAGTGATTCCAAGAATTATCCGTGTCAAACCTAATTGCATGTGGATAAGAAAAGATCAAAATCAATTGTTCAATCAATAAAATAACTTAAACTTCATAAACCCTAATTTGGTCAAATTCCACATTTACAAATGATAGTCCCTCATCTGGTCATACCGAAAGCCAACTACTTACTTATTACAAAAGTATAACGAAAAGTAATTATTGGAGAGATAATCATAAAAAAAAAAGGGAAATGGAAGTTGAATTGAAATTAAAACTGTAAACGATTACAAGAAATAGAATCAATGAACTCCTTGCGTAAATTAAAAGACTAGAAAGAAACAATTCTTTGGAAATATAAGGAACAAGAAATGAAGAACATGTAGAATGCTAAAGAAGAAAACCCTAGTTTCTAAGGAGAATAAAAATAGCAAATGATCGATCCCTCTTCCTTTGCTTAGTCTTGGTATTTATAGGAAACATTGGTTGACTCTTCTCTTTTATTTTTCCACCAATAGGATGCTTTAAAATCCCTAGTTGATTTTCTTTCCAAAAAGAGTTCTTGCCAAATTAAAACACTAATGAACCAGTAGGAAAAAAGTCCCAACCTACCAGTAGCAAAGTTAATGTTTCACATGAACAAGTAGCTCTTGACAGCTACATGTAATATTGCTCTCAATTTTATTTTATTTTTTTGAAACTTTTGGTAGCAAAGTTTATGTTTTGCTTCAACCGGTAGGAATCCAAAGTACCATTAGAACCTCTCTCTGCTACCTGATGAACCTGTAAAATTCAAGAAAATTTGAATTTTTATGAAAAAAAAAAAGGCAAAACGGTAATTAGTCGCTGCATTACAGGTTAAAAACCTGAATTTTTCTAAAACTTAGATGACTAAACGGATCTCACCGTTGGATTCGTCTCACGAAATCTAGTTACCCAATCAATTTTTGTTAAATTCTGACACGGCCAGATTTTTTCCATTTTATAAGGCGATCGGGTGTCGTGTGGCCAAAATAAACATGATTGGGAATTAATTGTAAAATGTGAAAAATAATTTAAATTTAGTTCAAATAAAATATGTTGAACTTAAAATGGACGAGATTTAATTGATTATGGATGAAATCGGATCAGTAAAAGACAGGACGTGTGGCGTGTTGTGAGCCAATTATATGGGGAGTATAAAAAGAGGAAAAAACCAGATTTTTCCCCATTTCTTAGCCTTGCATTTCTGGAAAAGAGAGGGAAGGGAAGAAAAGGAAAAAGAAGGATTCTTCAACCTTCTCTCTAAGATCTACAGTTCTCTGTTCGTCTAATCTCTTTGGGCCAAGAACAAAGATTGTTCTACGCGACGTGAGCTAAAAACAAATACCAAAAATTGGGAATTTTGATGAAGTATCACAGA